TTCTCTTGCCCTTCTGTTTTTGAGGACTTTTCCATAAAAGATTACAGAAACCAAAAAAAAACCTCTGGGATTATAGTTTCYTCTCTGTTTCTGCAGTGAGGTAGCTACAGCTCCTCTCAGGTCAGTSTCAGATTGTGGTTGTGAATCTTTCCATATAGCCCTAATACAAGGGATAACGTAAGCAATACCCCAGCTATGGCTCATGGTAGTTTTGTCCACAGTAGCTGGATCTGCTTTCGCCCCAGAGGAGCTGAGGAAACCCAAGAAAACATCTGGCCTCTACCCTGCTTCCTCTATTACATCTTGGTGGGAGGGTTATTATACAGACTCAGCACAGCCCTGTTCTCTAAGTACTTAAGGTCAGGATTAGAGATCTGACTAGAATCATGATACTTTCTGCTTACAAAAACTCACGAAATGCCTGCAGAAAGCAGAGTAGAAAGTAGCACAGCCTTCAGACTACACTGACAACTTATTCCAGCAGCAGARCAGCCCTTGAGATAGACAGCTGCTCCCCTAACAGGCTGGTTGGTTTCCTTAGAGTCTCTGAAGCTTCTAGAGCTCAGTTTATTTCCCCTGTATTGAGTTGGGCTAATGTACTGTGTCATACAGAGCTCTCAAACAAGGCCATGAGTTTTTTTAATGTAGAGAAGGCCTGATTATGATTCATTTAATACAATGACTTGGGATTACAATGTGAGACTCCTATCATCCATTTAGAGTATCACCTCATGCTTACAGGCATATAGTACCTAACTCTTGGGTGCCAATGGGTTGTACCACAATGCAAATAATGAGGAAGTCACCTTAAAATTCTCACACTGAAAACACACAATAATACAAYTTTCCACTAGGCCTTGTTTATAGCACAGTGTTTAGCTATAGGTAACCATATTCTTCAGAAGGAAATAAGGAAAAAGACAAAGCTGAAGTTAATAATGTGGATGAAACATCTCTCTCAGGCTGATGACTTGATACATGACAGCACTTTGATCCTATCAATCAGAAAACAATTTGATTGCAGACTTTTCTTCTGGGTATTATGGCCAGAATTATACCAACATTCAAATCTAAACAAATCTATTCTAGGCTCAAGTATTATTTATTCACAAGCTTTATTATTCTGTTTCATGGGGAAATACAAGGACGGCATCTCATTAATGAAAGGAACAGAAAGTTTTCTTTTTTAACACTATGAACACAGTAGCTCTGCAACCAGGGCAATGTTCAAAACACTGAATGTACCTGCAGATATTAATGTGGCAAGGGAACATGCCACGCACTCAGTGAGAGATGACAGCACACAGATAAAATACTAATCCCTTGTTATCAACTCTAGGTACCAGACATGATGCAATCATCAGAAATTCTCAGTAGAAGCTGGCAGTACCAACAAAAGGTTCATTTAGGGTCAGTAAAAATTCCTGCCTCATTTGCTTAAGCATTTAAGCAAGTGTTTTGAGACTTTCCAGCAAAAGTTTAAGTAATTAGACTTAGTCACACAATAACAGTGCACGATTGTTTGAAACTTAGAGGTTCTAAGGTATTTAGACACTAAAATCTATGGATTTTCAGGAAAAAGTATCCAGCATCTTTGTCTAAATGTCTTGCTAGATGCAGAAATGCATGTCTCTCTGAAGCCATATGTCTCTGCTCTGGGAGTTAAAATGATGTGTAGAATCAACAAGTTAGGAAAATACTTTATTTGAATATTAAATCACATATTATCTCTCTATTTATTCTGACAAAGGATAACAACATTTTATATTCCCTTAAGGTATGATAATATACTTAGAGAAAATTCATGCTAGATATAATAGGCCTTTGTTATGTTCTTTGCATTAATACCTCCATATTCAACCATTCTGCTGTTATACAAACCAGAAAACAATAATAACAGAAAGGTGGCTTGAGAAAAACACAAGCTTACGACAATGATTTGAAAATGCTTTAGATACTTGCCAAAAGCATATTTCCTRTTTATCACCAGAGGAGATGCCTTTCAATTCAGCTACAAGAACAGACAACATCTATATCTCCAAGAGTTACTTACACTGTGGTCCATCAAGGTCACTACATGGATGGTTCATTGAACCTGAGTGGCAGATTAAGAAAGGTTGGAATGTTCACTTTCAAAATTTAGAGCTGGTAGTAGTAATTACACTGGGATTTATCCAAGATGGGGAAGTTACACACTCCTCCAATAAGAAACTATCCCATTTCTGGACTTTACATGCAATTATGTATTTTCAGTACAGCATGAACTCTAGATCTTTACCTTTTTATGTGYGGATGTAAATTCTTATGGCAGAGGTAGAAAAAGGTTGGAGGATGAAATCAGGACTCAGTTTACAAGAGGCAGAATGATGTGCTGGTTACATCCTAACTTGAAAAGTAGAAAAGCTAGATTTTTTTTCCAGCAACATGTACCTATTTGGCAGTTGACAAACTGACTGGACTTTCCTAGGCTTCATTTTCTTCATATGTAAACTTGGTTAATCAGTAAAGAGAATAGATGAAACCTTTCTTCATCAATGTTGGTAAGATGGTTTGAAGGCTTCCTACTCAAAAAAGACATCTTTTAAAAGGAATCATTAACGGTGTGAAAGTGTGTGCAGAAGGGTAACCATGTGTAGGGAATGGGTGCTGGATGTGCCAAGAGCTGCTCATGTTGGCCTCTTCAGACACCCTAAAACCAGTATTTCACTTCTGTATACCAATGCCATCACTGCAAGCGCTGTACTTTCCCAGAACCACATCTCACCACCCTTTCCACTCCCATGCTAACGAATATCCCTTTCTCTTTGAGGGTGTTCTCTTCCGACCATTTTAATGTCTTCAGTGATCCCAGCCAGGGACATAGAACTAAAACAAAGAACAAAAGCATGAGCCTTCATTTAGAGACATAATCTGTTTAATAAATATGACTGTAAAAGCAATAAACAATAGCAATTATACATTACACTACATTGTCTTTAACGAAGGGGAAAATAAGATGAAAAAGTACATCAAAAAAAGTAATTTTAAAATTAGAAATAGTTCCAACACTATAAGAAAACTTTTTGATTGACTTACTATAAAAATAAGTTGGCTAATGTTGGACTTCTGTGGGGAGTATTATACAGTTGCTGCCAGAACCTTCCCATCTTTCATAAAGCTGTAGTTGCAAACACAATAGCAAAGCCATACAAATTGCTACATTTCTACCTGCCTCCAGAGAACCTACAGAAAAGGAGAGGACTGTTGTGTGGTTGTCCGTTCAACCATAGGCCTAATGTCCTTGCATTCAGTACCACTTCTTTTTCTCCACCACCAAGGAGACTGATCAGGCTCCATCTCCAATTTATGAGAGAGAAATACAAAACTGTCTCTTCCCCTTTGGGATTTCAGGCCATTCCACCAATGCTGCTGTATGCTGCCTTTGACTTAGGCTACTACATGCAAAAACCTTCCAACAAAATACCTGTGCATGGAGAATCAGAGAGCCTTCCTGAGCATGCTACGCTCATCAGGAACCAGCCTCTATTTGCCCGTGCTCAGTGCACTTAAATGAATGTATTTAGGTTGTCTTTACCTCTTTGCACATCAGACCCAAATCCTCACGCTCGGTCTACATGAGTTAGGTTAGACCTCAAAAACTGTGAAAGACCTGGTGTTCGGATTCAGCCAACACCCCGAGCTCCACGAGGATGTGCACAAGCTGTGCTGAGGCTGCCTCCTGCCCCACACCGCCTACATGCACGTGCAGTGTAAAACACAAGTGTACCTTAGTGATAAGAAACAAAACCTCATACAGGACAGTCCTGTTGCGGGGGGCYTGGCATACACATGGGCAGGCTCAACCCAAGCCCTGCTTTATTCTCCCTTCCTCTATCCAGAATGGTGGCAGTTGCATGTCTGTGACCAAGGAGGTTTGCCAAGAGAAACCACATGTAAATTTTTCCTTGCTCCCTATTCCGTGGCCTAGATGTCTTCCAAAAAGGACAAGCCTTGGGGAGACTCCCAAAGGGCAGAGATATCCCAGGATTTCCCCAAACCCACACATCATCACTAAAAGTTGCTGAGGACTTCATTAGGGCTCAAAGTCAAATTCAAGGTGTAATGCTGGTAGGAAGTGCAGTGTAAGTTCATGCTGGCAATAACCTCCTCAGGGTGCAGCACTCMCAGAGCTCCCTGCCCGTGGTGCACGCTGTTTGTTGGGCCCAAGGCCAGGGGGCAGAAGGCCTCACCTGAGCAGTGCTACCACACGGTACCTGGGTGGTGCACGCTGTTTTGTTGGGCCCAAGGCCAGGGGGCAGAAGGCCTCACCTGAGCAGTGCTACCACACGGTACCTGGGTGGTGCACGCTGTTTTGTTGGGCCCAAGGCCAGGGGGCAGAAGGCCTCACCTGAGCAGTGCTACCACACGGTACCTGGGTGGGAGCCAGGAGGCTGCTGAGGGGCCCCATGTCCCGTGGGCCCCCCTGGCGTCTGTGCGGCCTGAGGGTGGCAGCTGCAGCTTGAGGAAGGAAGGGCAGAGTCCAATCAAATACATAAACCAAACTGACCCAAGGATATTGTCAGTGCCTTTAAACTCCACTGTGATTTCTTGTGAAAGTCTGCTGGGGCGGCTAGCCCTCCCGCAGCCCAAAGTGCTAAAAGAGAAGTTAAATCTATAGCCAAGAACCCTTAACACTCCCTCCCAACTGCCCTGACCCTCCCCAAAATCCCAGTCTACCCTTCCCTGTAAAGAAGAGATCCCCATGCATATTCTTGGCCTATATCAATTATGAATTTCCTACAAATTAGAGACAGATAAGAAAAAAGAGAAGTGGAGAGGTGAGGGCAAGAACCATAGGGGTGAATAGTGGTATCGTTTCCCCCCTCCCAACCCCCACTAAAACTGAACACCTGTACAATGCATTTCCACTATGGTCTGGGATAATGTCCACATGCACAGGCTTAAAGCTAAAAACCCTTTGTCATCTGAAGAATTAAAAAGTCTGAATGCAGTGAGCTCTCTTTTTTTTTTTTTTTTTTTTTAGATATACATATATACCGGTGTCCTCAATTCAACCATTTACATAGGTAGGGATTTCTTTTGTGCTCTGGGGCTCAGCAGCTGTGGAAATACTTCCTGTGGAGAAACAAAAAATAAGAGTCAGTAAATAGCAAATGTGTTTAGCCAGGGAAGGAGCCGCTTAGAGGTATCACCCTGCTGGCCTTTGGGATTCAACTGTTCCAGACTGACACGTTCTTCCCAGAAATGTTTTCTTGATATTCAAAACACAGAAGGTGATGTCCTGTTCTTTTGCTAATGAAGCTGATTCACCCACGTTGAACAGCGTGGGGAGAGGCCAGAGCAGAGGGGTGGAGGGGCTGAGCTTCTCAGAGGAAAAGTGCTACTCGTTTGCAATAATAAAGTATCAGAGATTTCACAAATCACCTTAAGCTTTGTCTTTGCAAAAGAAGAGCCTGAACTGTTCACCTCCAGAATACTGAAACTGTGTTTTGTGCTGCCAGGGTTTGGAGAGAAAACAAAATCATCCAGCAACCTTCATTTAGATTGCAAAGGTCCCTGAATGTTAGTCAAAGGGGTGAGAAACTTGGCTTTTGAACAAGCATACAAAAGAGAAACACCCAATTACAGTCTTTGTTTTTCCTCAGGAAACAAAATTCATTTAAAAAAAAAAAGAGATTGCTGTTTTCCAGAAACAGATGAAGTAGTTACACAGAAGCTTGAGCAACCCCAGCATTTTCTGATCTCCTCAGACCTACGTTCARATCTTTTCATTTTGTCAATTCAGTTTCCTCATTTTTCTTACTGCCAGGGTGGGGAAACACTCTTAGGGAATTTGTTGAACTGATTCCGCATTATAGTGAATTGAGTCCTACACATTCACCTTTCGAGCTTGCTGATGCAGTTACAAAGGATAATATTATACTAAGGATAATATTAAAAATCCATTTCTGGTTCAATACAGTGTCCTGCTGGACCAGGTAGAGCTGAAAAGCCCACAAAATGATGGCTACCGTATAAAGTCAGAACAGCTGCACCAAACAAATTTCATATAGTTCAGCCTCTCCACAAAAATAGACCATTTACATCTAGAGGTTTCAAGGGGTCTAACTAGTTCCGAACACTAGTAAGAGCTGTTCTGAAGCCACCCTGAGTGGGGGTCACAGGTAACTGACTGTTGTTGCCTCAGTCTATGTGACCAGTTACAACGTGCAGTTCCCTGCCATTTCCACCTTTTGGACAATGTGAACCATGATCATTCCATTCCTTAGGAAGCTCAAAGCCCATCTAATTCTGGGAAAGTGTCTTTTTAAGGCCTGAAATTGGGTGTTTCTCCCTCAATCTCTTACATCAATTTTGCCTTGGAAACTTCTGAGGAATTAAAAAAAAAAAAAAAGTTAAAGTTTAAAATTTAGGACCCACCGCTCCGGGTCTTTGCTTGAAACCTCTTGGTGATCCACAAGCCTTTTGGAAGTCCTCTGTCCAGACTACCTTGGTTGCATTTCCTTTCCTTGGGCTCTGGACTGTGGCCTGGGGTTGCTCTGTATGGGGAACACCACATGGGAAGGTTGGTCCCCTCACTCCATCCTATGTTTTGCTARGCAGGGTTGTGCAACCGTGTATACTGATAAATAGTTGCTAAAAACCTTTCAATAGATACCTGGTCTCGGTGAACCCGTGAGGAGAGAGCAGCACAGATGGCAGTGGAGAGATGGTTTCCAACTCAGATATCAGTTTCATCAAGAGACTTTTTTTTCCCCAGGTTGTTTTGCAGGCCCCTACCTTAACATATCACATTCCTCTTTTAATCATCCTTCCCCTTATTTCCTCTCTGCAGTAGCTACTACACCAAGCCTGCTTCAGGAAGGAGTCTCTTACAATTTAGGGATATCCTCATGTGAGATGAAGCTGTGCAGCTAAGATATCTCAGTGAAGACTTTGCTTGTTTCTGTCTAAGCCAAAACAGCTATTATCCTAAGTTTCTTTACTTGCAGGAGTAAAGTGCTGCTTCTCTGGTCTGGGTCTGCAGAAGTGTCATCTCAAAAGTGAGGCCAGCAATGCCAGAGCAAGCTGGCCTTACTAGAACATGTCCCCAGACTGACACATCCCTGTTCCACTTCAACAACCCTGGTGCTACTGTTGTCAAGATAACAACAATCACACAAGCATGAACAAAAGTACAAGAGATCCAGGGTGCTTGCTCCAAGCCTGTTCACGTTAGCTCCTATTCCTGTAAGGCTCCTGCCTTACAAATTTTCAGCCACAGAGGCCTGTGGAAGAATTCCGCCTGCAGGCAATCCCATATGTCTAGTGCAGAGATCCCCACATCTGCTTTCCTTCCCCGAGAAGCAGTCAGGCTAGCATTGCTGTTGGCAGCAGGCTTTGGCAGAGCACAGTGGAAACATCAAACAATATTCAGCTTTGAGATCTGACTTACCGAATCACCTGCTCACCTCCTTTTTCCAGGTGAGGGTGGTGAAGGGTCTCCTAGGCAGGACTGAGGCGTGGGGTTTAACCACACAGTTACACCAGCTCCAGCAAAATAAATTAAATGCTCTGCTAGCGCAARTTAAGTGAAGCGAGAGTACAGCATTTTTGAGAAGAGGAGGGGATCTATAGAGCAACTATAAGAGGGGAAAAGACTAACGTTGTTCTTCTCCCTATCATCACATAGCTGTGAGGGACAGGGGAGAGTTAGCAAGGTTTCCTCTAGCAAAACTAACACTGCAGCAGAAGAGAATGGGAGAGGAGTGAGCAGAGAGATGAAGAAGAGGGAGGTTTAGGAAAGGGTTAGCCAGTTATAAGTCATAGGCTGACCAGCTGCAGGATGCTGCAAGTTATTTACCTATGGGCTGGATATCCAACTTCTCATCTACTAGTTGCTCAGGGCTCATCAGCTCACTTTGAGGGACATTAGGTATGCTTTCCCTCTGACTGACTGGACTGACCATCTCTTGATCTTTTTCATTCTGCATCTGTGCATATATATTAAGGCCAGGAATCTTCCTAAAACATCAACAGAAACCATCATTGTGGGGTACTTTGGCAGATGACGTAGCATTAGCCTTTTACAAACCAAGAAACAAATCACCRAGAAAAAGAAAACCCAACAACACAAAACCCCAAAAACTCAATGAAAGATGAAAATGCGGAGAGGGAAATGGCTCAGAGAGGGTCATACCTTTTGAACTTGTAAATTACAAACACAGCTAGTCCCACAAAAACCACGGAAAGGAGCATCAGCATAGCTGAACCACTGTGGCTGGGAGTGAGGTCCACGAGGGGAGCTGCAAGAGACGGGGAGAATATTAGAGCCATCACCTTGCTTGCTAATAAACAGTTGTTTAACTATTTTGCAAGGAATATTGACATATTTTAYTAGGCCATAGAGTTGGGATTATTGTTTGTTGGGTTGGAAACATTGTTTGTTTGTTTGTTTTCTGAGGAGAGGAAATAAACATGAAGAGTAGATTGCAATGTGTTGGCCACAATTGCCACTATTTTTTTGTCTTTCTCTGGTGTGGCCAGAACAAAAATGACCGAGGTGTGAAATGTGCCAAGTTCACTATGGAAACTGTGTTCCAGTGAAAATGCACATGTTTATGTACAACCCACTCACAGAGTCTGGCTCATTTCTGCAGTTCTACCTAAAATCCATAGCAGGTCACTTTAGACAACTGGCACTCTTCTTCCTTGGGGCTCCCTCATGGCAGAAACTTCCAATGACCAGGTACATAAATAGGGAGAAAAATACATGTGCTCTGAGGCATGAGAACACACTCACAGACACATAGGCCTACGTACATGTATGCGTGCCCAGACACAAACATATATGTGCTGAGCTCAACATGGAGCTGAAGGGGCTGAGARCAGAAGGGATGCTGCAGACTGGAGCAGCACCTCTGCTAAATCATCTGGATTTAGGGAATGCTTCTGGTGCTAGCTTGTATGTACCATTTCTAGGCTCCCCTGCACTTTTTTAAAAATTTAAGGGACTCAATTCCAAATGCAGAATCCTTTTTCTTCCTTGACARCCCAAACAATTGTGTTCAGCAGCAAAGTAAATCTCTTCTTTGGCATTTAGTCAAATTCTGAACTATTCCCAAGTTCTGAYGTCATGAAATAGGGCATGTCAGGGCCCTATATACAGGAAATCAAGTCATGCCCTCTGCAGCTTCATAAGGAATAATATTCCCTCAAGGCTTCACTAGCCACTGCCTGGACTTTTTGCATATTGGGCAGCCTAGGGTCAGTTTGCATTCCTACTCATATTTCTGCATGAGACAAAATCCTGCAGCATTCCTATAGACACTGTGAGGCTGGTTACAGTAATCACTCACGTCTCCCCAGCAGCTGAGAACAACAGAGTCTACCTTGCAGGACAAATGACTGTTTGCAGCTACCACAGACAGAGAGTAGTCATTCCTGGTGTGTCAGTAAATACAAATGAGACAAGTATTTTCAATAGGCACAAAGAAGGTATCTTTGTACAGTGTGYTTGAGCTAAGCATACCCTGCTCTGGTTTGAGCTAGCAAGAAACAGTCCAGTGTGTGCCCGGAGACCACACAGTCCTTTAGCCTGGCAGCATGTCACACTCACAGACCCTGGCTTTCAGCTCACAGTGCAGCACRTAACGTTTAGTAGCCCAGTAAAAACGCTATAGCACCTCTGCTAAATATCTGGTTTTGGGACTGGAGCTAACTGGGTTTCATCCAAAACAGAGCATGGGCTGGGCAGCTAGAAGCTCTCAGCTTTCCTTCAGCCAATGTGCCCGAAGTTCTTCTGCAGGAGTTACTGTCCTGCACATGGCATGAAGCTTGGATCCAAATTCATCCTGCATTAAAGGCAAGGCTGGAGATCTAACCGTCATCTCTTTCCATTACATAAAAACAGAAATGTCCCTTCAAGTAGCAAGAGATAAAGATGAACCTTTCTCCATTAGGTCCACTGAGATTTTTCCTAGCAATAACTTATTAGAAGAAGCCTACAAAATCTCCAGGGCCAGAGAAATCAGTTCCAAATACTCTTTCAGGATTTGATCTTTACTTTAATAAATAAACTGATCAAAAGGCAAAACAATCATGAGCATTTCCACAGTAAATACACAGAAACAAATTTCAAAAGCAATGAGCAATTTGAGGTAACTCCACAATTGAAGCACAACTTGATAGGTAGCAAATAGGCTCCTTCCCCGAGACAGACACTGAGCATTTTCTGAAAAATCAGGTTCCTTCAATATACAGAATAATAGGCCGTTTTTGAAAACCAAAGCCAAAGATTGTTTCATTGATAAGAACATTAACGTAAAATACATATGAATGAAAATCTTAAAAGCAAAATAAYGATATTATTCTCCAATACTGGCTTATCATTAATTTTATACAATAAAAAAAAAAAAGGCAAACTTAAATTGATTGCCCCAAACTTCTCTTTTCTTTAGAGATTAATCAGCTATACTTGTCTCTGCTTTTATATGTTTTTGGTTCAAACATATCTAAAAGCGTATCTTCATCTGTTTTAGCTAATGGAAAGTATAAGCATGCAGCAGTATTCCTAGGCAGATATTCTGCTTAGGAAACATGAAATACCACAAACACCAAGGCTTTCTTTTAGGCTTATTTAAATGCAGTTGCACTCTATGCTTTCATAGCAATCTCTTTTTCCTTTTCTCTATAGATAGGTCAGCATGTGGGCTGACACCAACAAGAGTATACCTGCTCATACTACAAAAAGCTTTTTGAAGGGCAGTTCACCAGTACAGTGAACTGAAGCTCTTTTGTACGTTAGCAAAAGAAGGTGACACCAGTTGATCAGGATTATTAGCACTTGCTGGATAAAAGGAATTCATAAAAATCCTAAGCATGCATATGGCTGTTCCTACTCCTGCAAGAGTTAAACAGGGCCTATACTATGAAACAAAGATTTAATGATACCAAATACAGACAAAGGACATGGGAGACCTTTCATTCCCATGGGAGACAGATTTAGTTAAAGGCTGAATAGCCTAAGCATGAGTGTTTGCACAAACTTGTGTGCATGTCTGTTTGTGTGTCCTTTCAGACTGCTAAACAACTTCTGAATTATGCTCTGTTTCTCTGGATTTTCAGTGACACCAGAATATAAGAAAGTCTCCAGCACTCACCAATAACCTTTGCACCCTATGATCCAGGCTGAATATGTCACAGTTGCTGMCTAGCTATTGAATATTTCAGAGGCAGCCCAAGAAGCACACACACTTCCCCTGCTACTCAGGTCACCTTTCCAACAAGAACAGCCACCTCTCRCACATCAAGCAAACAAAAGGATTACATGCACATGACACTATACCTTTTCAGCATGACAAAGAAAAGCGGGGTGGAGTGGGCACCTACACAGAGTTGTTACTGTGCCATGGGAACAAGAAGTGCTTAGAGTGCCCCTGCTAGCTAATGGCTATTAGCTAATGTTAGCTACAACCATCAAGATCCGTGCTGCTGATTGCGCTGCAGGTGACCAGAGAGGAGATACTCACGATGGGGATACTGACCTGCTGTTAAATGAGCAGCATGGACAAGGATTCGAACCCCTGGCTTCAGGTCAAATTGGACCAAATTTTGGTTCAGTTTCTGGATCACTCTTTCTGAAATCTAAGGAAAAGAAAAAAAAAAAACAAATGCATTTGTTTCTTTACCATCGCTTTAAACTGCCAAAAGGTGGGTAGGAAGTGGAGCTGTCCAAAAAGCAAAGGTTTTGCAGAGCACAAGACATCCCCAGACTTTCAGAGCACAAATTACTATCACCTTACAAGGGAGTAGTTTGTGAAGAGTTAGAAAGGATTTATATCAACAGGATGCATCTGTTGTACCTCTCCAGGAGCAGCCCAGTAAGGTAGGGGCATTAAACCTCAAAGGAACAGGACTAGAGCATGCAAGTGCCTGCAGAATGAGACAGTAACAGGACACTGGTGAACTGCATTTACTACTCAAGAAAAGAGAGGCATTYCAATCATTAACAAACTTCTGCTCAGAATAAATGACTTATTTTCCCCTGAATGGTCAGCTTTATGACTTTAGTGCATGTTCACATCACATGTSATATACCTGGATCAGAACCTGCTTGCACTGAAATTTAAATCCTAAAACCAAGCTTCATTTAATCCAACCCTAGTTTTCAAGCGATCTGCTTCCTAATCCTTAAGCACACACTTAAACCAGCTCAAGTCTGAACATATCTATACTGTTGACTGACTACAGAGTGCATTTGGATTAAAGTGCATGTTGTATTTATTTTTAAGATCTACAGGTTATCCTGGCAAAACTCTGATGACAGCAATAGAGCTTGAACAAAAATGAAGCAGACTATTACTCCTTAAATAAACCAAGAGAAAAGACGAGCATTTCCTGAGATGACATCACATAAAATCTGTATTTGTATAGTAACAAAGTTAGGCTTTGGCCCAATCTGTTGATAAGCCATCTGTTCTTGAGACCGTTTGCTCATGCACACTGGGCTACTCTCTCCACATCACCCTCAGGTATACCCCAAAAGTTTCTGGTAGTTTGCTATTAAAAGCAAAGATTCAAACAGGTATATGAAAGAATGAAAACTTTTAGACAAGTTATTGACAAATAGCTGTGTGTATTTTGTATGTTTGTTCTCTAGGTGTGGGTTTTTTTTTCCTCTTCTTACAATGGTGAATAATTTTCCACTTTAACCTATCCACTGCTTTGAGTGTTATATTATTAGGGATAGGTGGTTGTCAAACTGGAAAATGGAAAACTGAAAAAAAAATCAGTCCTCCTTAACACGCAGTTGCTGAAAATGTGTTTTTACTGCCATATCAAGCTCAAAAGCTCAAAAGGAACCACACAGTAGTGCTCACTGCTTAATTTAATTTGGTTTAAATAAATCCTTATTCCTTCTTGAAGATTAATGAAAAAATGTCAGAAAAAAAGAACATTCCAATAATTTTACACCATCTTTTTCATGTTCTTCATTTTTGTCTACTCGAGTTATTTCAGTGAATGCTATCCAGATATGATTAGATGTTCCCTGACTATCATTCATCACAATATGAGATTTATCTGCCTCTTTTATTTTTTTAACATTCTTAATGGTTCTTTCAATACTCTGGGCTTGTATACTTCATTTCTGGCTTCTGATCACTTGAATAGGTGCCTTTGGTCCAATATCAATTTGGCAATAAGTCTTAGACACATTTTATTTATATTTTTAATATGTCTCTTTTAAGTTTACATTTTTTTTCCATGGATGCCAGAATGAGCTATAAATGTATTTCTTCCAAGAGCAAGAATAAATACCACCTGCTTACAAAGATCCATCTGCTGAGCTCAGAGCAGCAGGCTTGGTGACACAAAGCTATGCAATGCATAAAGAAAGCATGGGAAGCAAATTATATCCCTCTAAGAACTTCAGCATATTAATAGCTAAGACTGTCTATTATAAAGAGCACCTCATCACTAAAATTGGAGCAACAGATGCTGATGGATATGCTGCAAACAAGATGGCTTATAGAAGTGAAGGGAGAGACATAATCCAGGCCATTTCCTGCCCCAAATACGATTTAAAACTCTCCTCCATAGTCCTGTAGGAATTAAGTTTATGCTTTGCACTTTGAGATTTGAATACTTCAGCGGCAGCTAAGCCTTTAAATAAATAAAAAAAATAAAATAAAATAAAAGAATGGCATGACAGCAAACTGAAGAAAAGAGCAAAACACATCGCATCATCCTCTTTCCCATTGTGATGGCTGCACACCATGGTCTGGGAAATGGCAGAGGCAGAACCACATGTGATACCCTCTGTACATGGACTGGCTTAATACACGACATGTAAGTACAAATGCAGCTAGTGAATGTAGCATCTACTACAATCTAGGATCTCAGATCGGTTTTGTGGAGGATTTGGGCAAAAAACAGGAGAAGAGAAGAACCTAGTCGGCATGAGATGAGCACAGAACTACAGCAAGAGCATGGACCATGGTTATAGCTGTGAGGTGCTGGGGCAGYCTTCCAACAGAGATGCTGAGAGCATCAGGGAAAGTTCAATCAGTTTGCTGGCTGGCAAACTGATGGTCCCAGTGATAACAACTGCTTCAAAATTAATTCTGATTATCAGCTGAGATCAAACAAATATGACTTACTAAACCTGATCCTTTTTCATCTTRCAACATTTCCTGGCCCTGGTTTTCAACTTCTCTGTCTTTCCTGACATAGAGCATGTGTGTGAAATGAGGATATAGATCCTGGTTCCCATTACATATTCATTCCCTAGATAAGCCAGAACTTGGTTGGAAACCATAACATATTAGAAYTGGAATAATTTAGTTTGTAAGGGAGGCTGCGAAGTCACGTGGTCCATCCTCYGCACTCAAATCAGGGACAACTTTGAAGTTGGAGCAAGTTTAGAAAAAAGGGGTGAAATGTGTTGTTAGTTTCTACAGGTTTGTTAGATCATACAGTACAGCAGAAGTAGGTCAAAGGGACTACTAGAAAGAGTAGAGGGAGCAAAAAAGTAGGGAAAATGAAGAAAGGTAGAGGAAAGCAGTCACAACTGACATTTATTACTACTGTATTSCTTTAATACCTGGTCATGAATGAGGAGCTGAAACCAGGCTGCTCTCTCAAACCATCAGCATTTCACCAGAAACCTGAAATGTCATTCTCATCTCCAGCATTACACAAAGRGCCAAAGAAAGCTGTGGCTCTTCATGCTGCTCAGAGCACACAGCATATTTCCTTGGTCCATAGCTTTTTGAATAGGGTTTTCCAAAATCTGAACAAGTCTAAAATTTAATAACACAGCCTGAGGTCTTCAGGAATGCCAGAAGTTGTTATGTGAATGAGACATCTGCCTTCTGCAGGCAGCACTGAAAATTCCTGACATCCGTTTCTGAGGGAAGAAGAGATGCATTCAGATATGTTTTAAAAACATTTTGTGGTACAATGTTTTCTTATCCCTTTCCATATAAAGTCAGGCTCTCTTAGGAACAAAAATACACACAGTGCACAGTGTAGAAAGAAGGAGAAATGACAAATATATTTCTCTACTTCTAAAATTGATCAAAAATATAATCTGTAAACAATGGCTTATAAACCTTCAGTATCTGAGGCTAAAGAGAAAGTTACAAAGAGTTAAACACCAAGCTCCATACCACCAGAGTAAGTTGGTCCTTTTTAATAATAATAATGTTTAGCTCAGCCTTCTCTAATGGTCCAATGTAGATCTGTGAACTACAGAGCACTCAGGGCTATCACCCTGAGCCTGAAAAAGTGGAGTTTCAGACTTTCTTATTCTATCAAGTTTACACCTAGCCCTGAGAATCAMAGGCTAAATCACTAGGCTAAATAGACTTTAGGCTAGGAGTGGCTCTGACTCTTGCACAATTTATTTTCAATGTTAACAAAATGCGTTTGATGCAAATCTCCATATGAAGGATCTGACTGCCGCTAAGAGTGAAAGATAAAAAATTGTGCACCCTCCTTCACGCCTGTACTCAAATCACTAACATAGACTCTTTTTTCCTAAAAAGAAGAGGAGGACACATCTCTACTCTTGCCTATTTCATAAATATCTGCATAACGCTAATTGAACAGCTGGACCTTCAGCTGAGGAACAGGTAGGCCTCAGAAGTGTCCGCACTCATCTCACATTCTGAGAGATACAACTAACTAAAGATGAAACTTCTTAGAATAGCAGCCTCCTAATTTATAGTCTTGAAGAGTCTCCCCTATGAAAATAATTAGCTTTCAGAATTAGTTTTGGTCCTTAACTGAGCCTCATTGACTTTATCTGCTTCATTTGCAGAATTAAGCATGATGTGCAAAAATAATTCAGTAATAGAAACCATTCTTCATGTATCATTTTTTCATCAAAGGACACATAATGAATAATAATGACAGACAATTTGTGAGGAAAAAAAATATTCCAATTTAAAACCAGAACAAAACAAAAATTAATTTGGCCTCTTTTAGCATTTTGTCAGAATTAGGACTGTGAAARAATCTTGTGCTCTAAGAAACAAAATATCACCCAGAAGGGCATTTCCCCATATCTTTATTGAATTTTGAAACCGCTGGTATAAATTGGTTTGGACTAATTGAATGTGATTCAACTATGCCTGCATGTACCAGCTAAGAATCTAGATTAACTTTATAGATACTATGTAGGGATCTCAGCTAATGAGTGCTACACTTCTATTCAACTCATTGGGTAAATCAATAAATAACTAAGGAAAGAATTATGCACATTGATTGGAAGGAAGCAACTCRACCTAGTATTGCAAAAGTGAATCAGGAGTTGGGACAACTGTGAATTACTTAAAACTATTCCACTCACTCTACATAACCTTGGTTACTTCATGTGAAGCTTCTGAAGTGCACTTGATATAGTACTGAAAAGATCATGAACCCTCTACCCTCCACTGATTTACAGGGTCTGTGAGGAATTTCTTGTGATTCTTTAATGAAAGATGCTAAGTAATTTTAAACTGCCATAGGTATCCAGAGATATCTGGGTAAAATCATGCTCTTTTTGCTAAACAACATTTTAGTGATAGGCAAATCTTAAATATATCAGAGAATAAAAGGCAAAAGAAAGAAAATATTCTAAAAACACTAATGGGCAGGTCAGAAAAAGATGTAAATAATGATAAAAGAAACTAGATCTGCATTAAAGAAGTTCAAGATATATAAACAGGATGGACTGAACTAGATTCCTGAATGCCTAACTCCACAGTGCTGAATTGGCAAGAGTTATTTCATCTCTCTAGTTCAGCACTGCTCATTTTATATTCATTCATCCATGTTATTTCCCTTTCCTTTGGCTAGATACAGATACTGTCCACAGCTACAACATGTTGAGCATTTGGCTATGAACCAGCTGGTGTTGCCATTTGCCAAGGACTCCATCAAGCTTGCTACACTGCTGATAGCTCTTTCAAAGGAGAAGATTAATGGCCTCAAATATAATTAGTTAGTTGCTACTGCAGCTATTCTGCATTCTGCTTTTACACGGTTATTTTGAAAAGCCCAGATAAAAGGACACCAGTAGAGAAATTGAGAGAGAWAGATGAAAACACTGAAACCTTTATTTGATATCAATACATCTCTTCAGAGTTCTGTATCTTACTTGATATCAACRCATCTCTTTAGAGTTCTATATCTTCTGCTTATATCTCATTTGACTTAATTCCTAGGCATTCTTCCACTGTTTGATAAAACAAACAAATAAAAATAAAAACAAAAAGAGATGCAAATTTGTGAAATGCATAGATAAGAAGAATCTCCTTCATACACAAAAGATTTGAGTGTGAAAGATTTGATTTGTAACTATGTTTATTCCACCGCCCTCTGTTGAGTTTGGAGAACAGTTTCCCACTGTGCATTCAGAATGAATTGGATTAGTGCTAAAAATGACTCAAAAATTATTTTTAATGTCACTAATTAGGGGTTTGTCTTTCACTGAAGAGAAAAAAAAAATCMGTGCTTTTGAAGCTGGCAGATCAGAATTCTATAATCAAATTCATTAGTCAAAGGTGTCCATCAGGATGGTGTAACTCCACCACCAAGTGGCAGTGGCAGTTCGAGTTGGCTGTTTTTGCAAAACTGGGGCAGGTTGGTGTGGTTTGGTGATGGTGCAATGACAACACGCAAATCAAGCAGCAATATTTTACAACTGCCCATTATTTCTACATTCTAAGCAGGTTGGTAGTCTGCCCTAAGTTGCTGTGAAATGAAGCAGTGGAATCAAGTGAAAAAGAAAAAAAAAAATGCCACATTCTGGTCATGAATAAAAGATTTTTTTTGCATATGCAAAATCTTTTGGGATTCTGCAAGACAAAAAGGCCTTTTCATTTTTATGAGGTTGTGAATAATAAGCTTGCACTGACTACATAAAGTAGACTGGACAACGTAACCTGAGGTCCTCAAGAGCACCATGTTTATACACTTGATAGAATTGTACCATGCTGTATATTGAAGAAATCCCCAGCCTCACACTACCATTTTTTTTTTAAGTTGTCAAGAGCAGTTAGGCAGATTTAAAAGGACATTCACCTCCTATGGGAAGTATTAGGAATACAGAGTTCACATTTGTAAATGTAACCTGCAAACAGAGATGACAACTATTAGTACTGTAGAAAGACCAAAAAAAAAAAAAAAATGGGGCACTTAAATGAGAATAGTAGAGCAGCTCAAGGAGAAAGTGACATTAATCATCTGACCATCCACACTCAACAAGAGCATGAGACACAAATGCACTGTCCTAGCAGAAAGGTGAGACAAAAAACACATATATGTCAAGTTTAATGAAGTCCATAAGGCAACTAACATACTTCCGTACCCCCACAATTCTGTATCCAAGGAACAACTTACTAGTGTCACAGGACAGTATTACAATCTTCGACAAATGAGGAAGTATGACCCAGAGTCTGCACAGATGCCGGACATCTAGCTCCCTCAAGTCAAGGAAATTACATACCTAAAAAACGCAGAAGAACTAGAATAGACTGCCTGCAGATGCAGAAACTTTAAAGGCTTCATATARGGTGATGTAGTTTGAAGCATATCAGCTACTGCTTCTATCAGTTTTCCTTTCCTCCCACTTCATAAGCGTCCTCCAGCCTTGCTGTGCTAGTGAACAAGAGCCCATGATCTTTRTACTTCCCATGTGATTTACTTGGCTTCTCTCTTTCAAAGCCCTCAGAGGGTCCACAACTTCTGTTCCTGTACCTGGCATGTTAATACGGTGGTTGGAGGGCTGTACCACCAAATCTACATCATAAAACCACAGGTAAATAGAGTGACTTTTGCAAGCTCTAGTGAAAGAGAGGGCTTATTCTCCCAAAAACTGGGGCCTACAGTATGCAAGCTTGGGGCCAGTCTTTGCTGTACCATTTGGCCAAGCTTAGCGTTTGAAAATGAGKTTTTTTTTTTTTTATCCTCTGATACTGAAACAGAGTCTTTTGCAGTTTATGAACATTATCTTTTCTGATCTCCATCTGATTTATTCCAACTACAAGTTTTCCAGCACAGAAATTGTTTGACGCTGTTTCTAGAGGGACTCACCACAGGCTTTATGTKTTGAGGGCAGCTTCCCTGTGTGATATGATATCATGGAAAAATGAAGCTGTACAATTAAGTACCTCCTTGATAAACCCTGTTCCTTTTCAGTGTTTGTGCTTTCATTTTGCTCCTCTTCAGTTCCAAATTCCACTCCCAATTGCACAACTCATACAGAACTATGACTCCTTTGGGTGTGCACCTGCAAACACACCAGCTCACTCACATGTCTCTGAATAGCTTGTTGCTTGTTTGCAAATAAAGCAGAAGATTTGTGTTCCTACAGAGGATCTGTAGAGAGAACACCATACGGGAAGCACCTAAGAAGCAACTTAATGTATCATAAGCAAATGTGTCCACTCTCAGTACCCATCACAGTGGCTTTTGGCACAAGAAGGAGCTGTTGAATGGGCTCTGAAACACTTTGGGAAGGGACTAGTGAAGCATCACTTTTCCCAGACCTTTTGGGACTTTCCTTAGGTCAGTTCCCCAAAAAAAAATGCCATTTTCTCCTTTAATAATGAGAAAGAGGAATGTATTGTCCAGAGACTAATAGGAACACTTTCTGATCATCTTCATGAAAGCAGGAAAAATCCTTGTCCATAAGAAACAGCTGGCTGCAAATGGGTAAATAATTCTCTCTCTGCTAAGATTACCAGGTAGACCCTGCAGGATGTCACAGAAGTTGCTGGAATCCCACTGAAAATGACATTTCTTCTCATGCATAAGAAGGGGCTTGACAGTCAGGGCTTCCTTTCTTTACTGTTAGAGACACTCCATTTTTTATGAGGGGAAAAAAGAGAGGGATGAGGAGAGAGGGAGGAATTGGCAGAATACAGTAAGCAGCTGAGTACCAGAGGAAGCAGGTCAGCTGTAAATTTGATGGTTTATGGACTGCCTTCTTTGCCAATTTGTGAGGGAGAAAGGGAGGAGGAGAAAGATGGAGAAAGGGGAGGAAAGGTTTTGCAGAGCAGTAAATTTCCATCATTTTTGTTTATTATATGGGTGGAGGAAAATTGCAGAGACAAGTCATTTATCAAGAAAAGATGATGGCTGAGGATGCTGAGCAAGGGAAAGCACAAATATATGGGTGACCTAGTGGTTTGAGGCCCGTTGCTCAGTTCGCTAACAAGGCTTTAGACTCCTGCRAGATGCAATTGCAACAGTCAATTATAGATCAAGCTGAGGAAAGGGATATTAAAAAAAAAGCACACTAGGAATGGGGAAATAATTCTGACACATTTACTGATGAGAAGACTCTACTCATCCATAACTTGAGGGGCAAATCTAAACACAGAAGCTAAACTCCTTCTGCCATCCAGTGGGGGAACTAGCATCCTGTAATGCTGAGRATATGGACATAACATTGAGGCTGAGATTTGCAAACCAATGACATCTTCAGCACTATGTGCATATAGGTTACATCCAAACATGCTACCTCTGCTTAGGCCACTAACACGGTAGAGAGGCAGAGATTAAGTACTCCCCTCAGGGCTAATAATCTCTGTCCCTGGAAATGAAGGTAATAAGAGCTAAAGCACATATATGTGTGTGTGTGTGTGTGTGTATACATATATATGTATATATATATTTTTTCCAGCATGGTCTTTTGACATCTTTTSACATTTTGACATGATCTGACATAATTATAAGAGGTCTACGTTGGAGGCAGGACCCTTTCAGTGTTAAGGGAGATACAGCTTTCCCCTTTGCCATAGATTGCTTCAGCCTCACTAGACTACCTGAACTGCACAGTTGACTTTATGAAGAGAACACTCAACATCATCCAACCACTGCTTTAAAGTCAATGTTCTCATCTGCACCCAGACTCTGTCTTCCACTTTCTTTTCACATTTGACAGCCTCATAAACYTCAGCTTACGAAGCTACTCCAGAACACCTTGGCAGGAATCATCTCCCAGATCCTTTCTACTCTCTTACTACTTCACAAAGTAGAATAAAACTTGTAAAGGAAGAAGACATCGAATCACAGAAATTGATGACAATTTACCATTACTGAGGAATTTCAAATGTGAGTTTCCACTCCTAACTACAGCTCCAAATCCTGTGATTAGTTTTAACCTGTCGTGAAAAACACATACACATTCATAGATACATAAATATATATTTCTACAAGAAATAGACACAGTACCTGTTCTAAGTCTTCTGCTGTTCTTTTATTTTCTCTTGTGGCATCTTTATATGGTAAAATGAAGAGCTCAGCAGATGTAGGCAAACCAGGAAGCAGTGCGACCAGAATATGCTTGCTTGAAATACCTGTTGCCTGATACACAGAAAATTAATAGGCACATGAATAGTGGGATAATGGCACTGAATGCCAACAACTTTTTTGCTAAGGCATCACAGCATTTTTACAAATTATGTAGGGTAGAGCTTGTACTACAAGAAGAGTCTTGTTAAAATCCACTGCAGGTGAAAAGTTAGAGACTAATGATTTCCCAGCCTAAGCTATATTATCATGTTCTCCAGTAAAATACGCAAGGCCCTAATGTCAAAAAGCATGTTATCATGCTAAAAGACATGATAAAAGGAACTCCTAAGTAAGAGCCCTGTCTGATAGTTTTATCTAAATTTAGTCATGTAAAAGTTATCTGTCTAATGCAAGCCCGTCCTGAGGTTGTTTAGTCRATGGTAAGAAAAAGCAAATTAAAGGACAAGGCACAAGGGCTGAATTTCACTTTACAGTTGTGGTTAGCCAAAACAGAACTTMAAAGCCAACTTATGTTGTTTGAAGAAGGCCAAGGAAAAAGAAAATGTTTCAGATTTGAATCCACCAAACCAAAGAAATTCTTATACTTCATATCCAAGTTAATGGGGATTATTATTATCGTTAGGTAGCTTCAAACTGTTTTTTTTTTTTTTGGTCATTTGGCTAAAAATCTTCAGCAACAAGCAACCAGATTGGATCTGAAACTCTCTTAAACACAACATTAACCAAGAATCAGGAAAACCCCAAAACAAAGATCCACTACCAATCCACCAACATCACTTCCAGGGTCATCTCTGTTAACTTGTTTTAGCTGCTGTTCCAATGACAATTATACTGTGGACTTTTTTTTTTTTTTGGTCAGAAAAGGAGCTTCTTGGTCGTTGAGAAGGTTTGTTGGCCAAAAGAAAGTTAGTTTGTCGAGTCTTCTTACGCCACTTCTCTATGTTATAAAATAATTTTAATTTCAAGTTTGATCTAAATTTTAAATTTCCACATGCTAACTTTAGTAGGTCATCCTGGAGTAGGGAGGAGGGAAAGGGAAGAGTGCCCAGCTATAGCAGCAGACCACAGCAGCTGAATGCAGCAGAGAAATTTGCCTGTATAATGCAGCTCAGAATCCTCTCAGACACTAAACCAACCTAAGCCTTATGATTTTTCCTCTTCCAAGTTCAGAGGCCAAGACTTGAAACAGCTGCTTATTGGAGAAAACAACAGAGGAAGGACACAGGGAGGCAGTGAAACTCTGATTAAAAATCTTCATCAGGTAATTCTGTAGCACTCACACATCACTGCTGCCAGCAGGTCTTTCTTGACAAGAACAGACCAGGGAATAGCATGTGGACCAATGAGAACGAAACCCTTTCACTGCATGTCCAGGAGAAACATAAGGTTTTGTGGTTGTTTTTCAGTAGGGATTTAGAAAAGAATTATAATGGTATAAAGATCTCATATAGTCTTTCTGTGTACTATATGAAGCCAGGACTAGCATTATTTATGTATGAGTGTTTGATCTAAGAAGACAAAAAAAAAAAAAAAAAAAAAAAAAAAAAAAAAAAAAAAAAGACACAGAATTACCATATTAGAGAAGGTCTTCATTTTCTGAAGCACAGAATGATATGATTATCTGGAAGCTTTTTGGATAATCTGTTCATTTCATTCTTGTCTCCTTTATTGGAAGTGGGAGACAGGACTCAAAAAATCAATGATGTGAGGAAGTGATTATGATTGTAATACAAAAYATTCTATTTTGTGATAATCTGAAATTATCCCTGCTTATCGAGAAGATTAGATTTTAGTAGAGAACTATATTTTCTTATGCAGAATTTTTACCCTAGCCTATGGAACTCTAATAAAGAGCATAATCCTTTAATAAATGTTCATAAAAATTCTATAGCACAGTTATAATTTCCTATTGAATTATTTAGTTATTAAACTTCTTTTCATACAGTGTATTTAATTACTGTAGAAATGTACTGGTTTCCTCCTTAGTTTTTATACGAACTTCTCACAAAGGCTTGTTTAAAGTGAATTATTTAGGTATAGAAAGAGAGGCAATTAGATATCAAAATATCTTTTTTTTTTTTTTACTCAACTCAAATAATAAAAAGCTACTTTGTGTTTTYAGTACTCTGCTACGAAATGTGGCCTTGGTATTGTGGTTTTATAATCCTTACTTCATGGCTTGATTTTGTTTTATTGAGTTGTTTATGCTCTGTAAGCTCATCCTGAAGATAAMTGCATCCTTGAATACTTGATTTGGACATAAACAAGTCAAAAGATTACAGAACAAGCTCCAGAAAAATGTTTTTTTTTCCCCTTTTCCTTTCTTTCCTTTTCTTTCCTTCCTGTCTTTTGAGGAATATGAAGAAAAAATCTCAGAAACAACCCAGAGAGGTTTTCTKTTTTTCTTTTTTTTGAGGTGTGGGTGCTTTTATCTTTTATTCAATGAATACTCCTCAAATTTGAACACAAACTTCCACAAAGACTGGAGATGTTATTAGCAAGGTCATTGCAGCATCATCCATGTAAAGCAACTGGGCAGGCCACGTGCACTAATGAAGTGCCCATAAACCCATTTCAAACATTTCCTGCCATTATAATTCCTGCTGAGCTGAGAAACCACAGCCATCTCTTCTACCTTTGCTCAGCCTCTCAGTTTGAAACTGAAGCCTGTAGCTACGTAACAATATTTTTACAACATTCTGTTTTACCATTAAAGAAGAAACTTCAGGGCTTCTTCATGCTGATGGACAAAATGTCATCCAGTCCTGATCCATGACCCTCAAGCTACAAGCACTTACTGTGGAGCTCTTTTCTGTACTGAAAGTTGTCTGCATTTTGGTCTCCYAAGTCTCTTACATCATATTTGTTATTCCACTAAAATAGCCTTACTTTCCACTGCTGTATAGGAATAGTAGTAAAATTAGTAAGAACAGTGCAGTAGTGAAAACTTCTGTACATCTATAGATAGATTTGTGTGTTCACTATATGCCCTCTTTTTCAGAAATATTCCACATAATTCCTTGTTATTAAAAATACAAACTGAAGGCATCAGATGGTCATAGGATGGGATAATTCCCTGTCTAAAATGTAGGCATCTGTCTCAGACACTTGCCAACTTACTTTTGCCAACTTACTTTTATAGTTAATGAAGATGTAAAGAGACCTCAAGAGAGCAATTGATTCAGTCCTGAAGTAAATGAAAAGCAAAAATTAGGACCACAGTAATGTAGATGATGCACATTGCTTACCTCCACCAGAGCTCTCTTGACTACTCTACTGATGTCCCTTCTCCACTCTGGAATATCTGGGTTGTAGTCATCCAAGTTTGGAGAGAATGATAACCGGAGGGACTGAAATTGCTCTGCAGATACAATGACATAATGGTGAGACAAATAAAAACTGTGAAATGCCTCAGTGTCAAACAAGTTGCAATGTTTGTGGGCAGAACATCCTATGATGTGGGCAGAACCTGGTGAAACCTGCTGCAATTTGTGTTCTGCTTTATCAATCTGCAGGTGAGGCATAGACCATCTGTAAGATTCACTGCTGGAGTGACACAGAACAGAAAATCTTTAATGGATGAGCAGAACTGGAAAGGGAGTTCTGTTGGGAAGATGATTGAAATGTTACCCTAATCTTGACTTTCGAAAGCCCTGTTAAGAAGGCTGTGCTTGTCCACTCAAAGACATGCCCCAAACACATGAAATCTCAGCTCAAAAGAAGGGGACTGGGATAAAGAATGAGCAAAAACTTTCCTTGSAAAATGTAGTTCTTGATTTCTCTTGCTTTTAGCAGAGACAGAGATACCCACGTAGCTGTGACCACATGTTTATTATAAACTGCTAAAACTGGGATTCATAGTGGTTTTTTTAAACTATACCTCACATTACTGTGCTCTGTTTCTAAAGCCTGAGTGCAATACTGCAAGAGTGCAGATTTCTGTACAGAACAGCACATAGTATCACTTTCAAACCAAGCATGAGTTAAGAGGCCTCTACTGGCCAAGAGGAGGTAAATCAGCTAGCAAGATGAGAACATTTTGACAGCCATGCTAGATATTACATACAGTGATAGGCCAGGCATAGGACACCTCTGGGAAGGAGGTCAGGATTTTGAGAACATCCAGGCAGCACATGGTACAGACTAATGACAGTCAGTTGCTTTCAATTTTGTTATGCCAACAATCTAATACCACTGGAACCAACCTCAGCACCTCATTCAAAGCACCTTGGAATAAAGGCTGCATGTTGTCATCAGGTATTCTGGTTCTCTAGCTGTTACACGGAATGCTACATGAAATAAAGGAGGAAGGACTCACCATACACAGCAATAGTCTTTGTATCCTGTAGAATGGTATTTCCTGCTGAGACCTGAACAGTGATGGTATTCATCCCTTCCACAGAGAACGTGAAAGTGATGCTGCCTTCCAGTGTGATCAGTGGCTGCAAATATGTGAGAAAAAAAAAAAAAAAAAAAAAAAAAAAAAAAAAAAAGAGACATGACATTAATTATACTGGAAAGGAAAAGCAAGAATGATTTTGTCTCTTCTTTCAGAATCAACTCTAGCTTTGAAACTGCGACGTTTAATGAGAAGGGGTCCTTTGACATAGAAGCAATTTTCAGGAGAGGACCCCGGAATCCAGGTGGAGATCTCCCTCTTCAGGCTTTAAGTAGGATACTTACAATTTCTAAAGTGGTTAAGTTTTAAGATCCTACCATTTCCTAATAACTATATCCAGGATGCTTCCCCCTTAGCATGGTGGCTGTTCTGGATCTCACATAAAAATGTCCTGCCTCGGAGATTCTAAAAGGAATACACACAAGACTCACTGCTCCGGTGGCATACTTCTTTTCTAGATATAGCTGTAACCTGTTAAAGATCACACAATGGTTCTGTGATAGAACCRTCAGTGAAATTAAGACTCCTTGGTTGTTCTTATATACATTCCTTAGATGTGGAGAAGTTATTTTTGGAGAGGGATGGTGTTTAGAGAGGACACAGGTCCTCTCAGTTTGCTTTGCTGTGAAAACCAGTTTATCAGCAAGTTGTACCCTCTACCAGCAGTCTCTGCCTTAACCTCTGTTTTCCCTTATTAATGAATTCTGGGTGAGATCTTCAAAGCATATAGTATTAAGTCGAACTCTGTTCCCATTGTAGTCTGTAGTAAAACTCCCACTTCAATGAGAAAAGAGCTAGACCAACTCTGATCACTTATGAGCTTAGCAGATCAGAGGGAAGGTTAAAAGGTGACAATCACAGCCTGTAAGTACCTCTGGGGGGGTGATTTCTTATACTACAGAGAGTTCTTTAATCTACACAGGAAGGCGTAACAAGATCCAACAGCTTAAAACTGAACCTAGATAAATTCAGACTACAAACACAGTGCATGTGTTTAACACTCAGGATAATTAGCTGTGGGGAAACAGTYGAGGGAGAGGGTAAGAAAGAGAAGCAGTGAATTCTCTATTATCTGAAGGAAATTATTAATGTAAAACAAAACAAAACAAAGGTCAGGTTCTGTCTCAATTACAAAGAGCTATACAAAGCAGGAAGTGCTGATGAAAGCCTCTGAACTGGGGCAYGCAGAAAATAACCATGTGCTGCTGAGGATCCCTTTTGACTGTACAAAACCCATGAGAATCTCTCCCCTGAGAGACTAATTAAGGTAGATCTCTAGGTATTTCAGCCTTGAAGGCACATAAAATAACAGTTGCATAATGACTGTACAGATTTACCAKCACTGCCAGCAAAGAGATAGTCGAATATGGTGCATGTTGTTTTCACAGCTAAGCAAAGTGCAGAGGCAGGAAGGTGTACTGGGAAACTTCATACAAACTAAGGTCCTCACGGACAGACAGCTAAGCAGTGTGGAGGCCCTGCATTGGGCTTAGCATATTTATAAGGAGGCACAAAACTGCCAGTAGTCTCTTGTCAGTCACCAGAGGAATGAGACTTAAATCTTAAGGCTATGCAAAGTCAGTTCTAAACATAAAAACAGTTTGGAAAATTGTTTGTTTCCAAAAAAAAAAAAAAAAAACATTCTTTTGTTGAATGGGGGTAAGAAATCCACACTGGAAACTCTTTGAGATTTTGTTTCTCTACATCCACCTTGCAATGTGTGCAGGGTGAAAGGTACCGCCAAATTGCATGAATGCCAATATGCCCTACAACTAAGTCACACCAACAACCACAAAGCAGGTGGTCTGCAAACAACTAGTTTACGGGAATGGATTGCTTCTCTTCCACTAACATCTCAATTCTTCTATCTATGAGAGCTTGAGCTTTGGCTGTTTGCAGAGACAGTGCAGAAGACCAGAGGACCACAGGATCTACTGGATCAGGTAGCTCCTAAATTTCAATGTTGCTACATTGAAGAGCAGAGAAGCATCTCTCCCACTGGCTTGCAATTATTTTTACTGTTTAAAAGTATTCCCAGACCCACTCTTCCTCCCTTCTGAGTCACAGAATTCCCCCATGATTATTTTGATCTTGGTGTGTAGGGAAATACATACCTCAGTGTTGTTCCCAAACCACCAGACATAAGTAAGGGTTCCAACTTGGCTTGGCCACAGGACTGCAGTGGCGTTGACCTCTTTGTTCTTTGTGGTGACAAATGGGAGAGACAAGTGAACATGTTCCAAGGGGCCTGCAGAGAGAGAATAGTGGGTGAGTTTTCCCTCCCTCTGAAATATTAACCCAGGGGAGAGGGAGGCTTGATAGGAGATCCCATTGGTTTTGGGAAGAGGTTTATTCCAAGTCACTAGGGGACATGGCAGTTAATGTTTTGGCTTTGTACCATTTGCAAGGAGAGAAACTTAAGATCTGTACTTCAAAAAAAGGAATCACTCCTGTGTTGGATTGAAAACAAAAATCAAACTTCTTTGCCCTATGTAGCAATGTCACATACTCAGAGACATCATATATAACTTAAACAAAGGCAGAGACATATTACCTGCATATAGACTTCTCTRGGAGGAGATCAGATTGTAAAGGCCAAACAGCTTCAACAGACATAGCACATTTCAGATATGGAGAGTTCGTTCATCCACTGATTACCATGGTTTGGCAAACTTCAGCAATGCTCTATTTATGCTAACCAAAATTCTTTCTCAAGGCATCTACTCACTGTTTTGCCTTCATTTTAATGTTACCTTATACTCCCTTTTTTCCTCTACATACTATTTTATTTCTTAAAGATAAACAGAACATAATTCATTCGACAAGTGACATTATGCCCAGGGTTGCACATTTCACATCTTCCGGAGACAGATGGGCCTTTGTTGTTACATCTCATCCTGTGGATTATTTTTTTAAAATGTGTTCTGACTGTTTACTTAGAGAACAAAACAACTGTCCTGAGAGTGGTAGAAAAAGAAAGAATCCCCAGGTGATCTGGGGACGTGGGTTTCTAAAACAAATTAAGGCCACATCCTACATCTATAGGCTCTCCAGTGATAAATGCAGACTATGGCCCAGGAGGATTGATTTCATTGCTCACATGGAATTGAGATACACTGTCAGAGGACCCTTTATATTTCAAGAGAWTTTTTTTTTTCATGAAGTATCCCCAAAATACATCACCACTTAGATCTTGATCTTCAACCCAAGCAACACCAGACATTTTAGGCCAATCACCCAACACAGCATACACAGGTAGACAGGCACTGAAAAATTCACCAATATAAGACTGTATGTGCAATGCAAGGACAGCATTCCTAATCCACTGCTGAAATGCAGCTTTCTTGAGGGTGCAGAAACAGCCTTTACACTACTTAGCTTGATACAGCCCAATTAAGAGTCACCCATGATCCAACTCAGCAAAGCCTGATACAGACCAAATGAGGCTCCTTTTTCCTTTAATGATCAGAAGTTACTTGCAAATCTATGAAAAAAAAATTGCACTGCTAAATTATTGCCACTCAAACCTCATGGAATTTCAYGCCTTTGCAGTTAATAGGATTCTCCTGCACAGACACAGCTCTGTGACCCAGCTGCACCTCCTCTCAGCGAGACCCTGAGTCTTCCCAGGATAAATATTCTGCAATCTGATGTCCTCTGGGATGTTTGCCAAATGCCCAGGGTCAGCATGGATTATAAAAGAAACAAATCTCCAGACACCCGATATGGTGACARGAGTGACAGTTGTAAAGTCAAATACTTTGTTCTCCAGTATAATCGTGCACAGCTCCTCTGATTGCATCTCAAGTGACCCTGCACTGCAGAGAACACCCAGACCCTCTGCAAAGCTCCATCCTACACTCAAACAAAGAACATGAAAAGATGCCTTGAGCTGGCCAATTCTGAGTTAATATTTCTGCACAAACAGCTCATGGTCCAAGCGGCTGCAATGCTGAGCTGTTATGTGGCCAGCAGATGGGGATAGCTCACTCTGGATATACCCTTGGTTTTATAGGAGTGGGCTTTTTCATGGTTAAGTTTGGAGAAAATTTCCATTTCTGAGTTTCCTGCAAGGCCTCTAAGCCATTGAGCCTACAACCTGTCTCCAGACAATCTGTCTCCTACAATCTGTCTCCAGAAAAATGGGGTACAGGTCCCTGAAAACAGTAAGAGAAAGGAAGGAGGTTCACTTTGACAAGTGATGCTACTTTAATGCATTCAGACAAATGTGTGAATAACTTTGCTGGGAAACTTTTCAGCCTGTTGGGGCAGTTGAGAGACAGTCTGTTGGCTGAGAAGTGGTTTGTATGTAATTTTCTGTCCATGCACCCCAAAAAATTCTCCTGCCTCAAAACAACCTACATTTCTGGATCTGGGGACTTCCTTGCAGATGACAAAACTGCAGCAAATTTGCTAATTCTGTGCATTGGCCCAGCAGCTATTGCAGGATAAGGAGACCAGGTAGAGATGTTACTCTCACCTTTGAGCTCACAAGCACTTGRCTTCAATGCCTGCAATTTTATCCTCAGCGAGGCCTTTGACTTTGCTAGTTGAAGGGGGGAAGTTGGAAGGACCTGGATATGCAGCACGCACACATCATGTCTGTAAAAAGGGGTGACCTAGCAAGTGGTCCTTTCAAAAACTCCCTGAGAGCTCAGACTGCACAGGGTTTTTCTGAATGCCCTAACAATATTGTGTGTGTTTCTACTGCAAGGATGCATATTTTCACAAAACTCCCCAATGACTAGATTCGCAGACACTTGAAGCAGGCCTCTAACTTGCCAGACAGGGAGTGAAAGCATTTAAGTAGGATTTACAGGCTTTTGTGGATCTCCGCTGTAGRCTCTAGAGAGGGATTGGATTTACCACGCATCTCTGTCCTCGGCACGTCTATTACTAGCCTGAATGGCACCACACTGAGTGCGCGACCCGTTCTCTGCACATACGTCCTTAATTCTCATTTAGAAGAAGCTTAGATACATCCCTCAGATGTGGGTGCTCTGGGGTCAGGCATGGACACACTAGACCTCGCTGCAGTGCTCATCTCAGTACTTAGGTCTCATGCTAGCTTTATCTATACATAGCACAGAAGCATGTATTTCATTGGCTTCCTAAGTAACACAAACACATCTGAATATTGCTTTTTTTTTTTTTTTTTGTATCCCTAAAATAATCAAAGAGGATTTTTAATCCTTCAACAGCTGCAGAAAATGGATTAGATCAGCTATAAGGCACTATCCATGAGGATGGGGGCTAGACACCTGCCTTCTCCTTCCATTTTGGGGCTGTGTAAGAAAGCAACTGCTGCCTCACATGGCCTCTTCACTTCGTAGACAGGCTAAGCGTGTGCTGTGGTCCCTGTGGAATTGCCTCTTGTCAAACAGCGAACAATACAGACCCTGCACACAGAAGCCTGTCAGAGCCTCCTGTGAAATATCAACCGCCAAAGCACTTCTCCATTTGTTTCCAGTGACCTTTACAAAGAGTGGGAAAAAAAAAAAGACCCACGGCTCCTGTTTAGCCGACTTTCATAACCAGCAGCAGAGACGGGGGATTTCTGCATGCACAGCCCACAATTGCTCCTCCGCTACTTAGACAAACTGGGATTTGATTCCAAAACCTTTTGCTGCTACAAGTGGGGGTCTTTTCCATTGAGYCAAATCTGTGCTTCCTCAATTGCTGAAGAGATTATGTAAAAGTGTATAAATGTCAACTCCTGAGCTGAGGTCCTTCTCTTTAGCCACCACTGTACACACATAGGAGCATAGTTAAAAAAAGTAAAGAAAAATGAGTATCTTTCTAAAGGYTGAGAACTTACCTTGATTCATCAATGCCCCTGTACAAAAAAATTACACAGGCTAAGCTCTAAATTTCAAAACTCAAGTTTCCCAGTAAGCTAGTTTGAGTACTGCTATTTTTGCAAGATATAATTATGCAGCTTTCAAATCTGAATTGCTGTTGAAGKATTATGTGAAATAAACTTTGCCACAAACCACTATCTATCACATGAGGGAATCATATATGGCCYACTATGATCATGAACTGATGGTCTTTTTGAAGTGAGGAGTTCAGGGAAATATTTGTTCCTGTTCCCTTGTACTCCCTCATAAACTTCCAATCTCTTACAACTACACCTCCCACTGCTCTCATCTGTTGGCATGACTGTGCACCATAAAGAGCTGCTCTCTCCCATTGAAGAAGCAGCTGTTTCCATGCTAAAAAAGTGAAGTCAAAGCATATAGAATATATTAAGTTATTTACATCACACATGGAGCTACTTTGGTTGAGCCTAAGAGGTATTAAGGTTAATTTCTGTGATCATAACTTCTAGGTTGGAATTTCTTATTTGTCTTCCAATAACTTTGCCACATTGGCACACCGTCTGAAATATAAATAACCAATGCAACACTCATTGAATACAGCAAATGATGGTCCCAGCCAAAATCCATTAAGAATATTACATATTATCAATAATAGGCTAGCTCTTTGGGTCTGTAATTGCATGCTAGAATAAATATAAAAGAATACAATGCTGGTTTTAAAGAAATAACTAAGATACATTTCAGTTGTAAATCAGACACAGCTGAAGTATAAAAAGGTTAAAAATAACAGCAGAAGAGCAACGTGGAGATAATATTTTTTTCTTGTTATACTATTTAACATCAGGATCRTGGTTCCTATGACAACGGAGAGAATGAAATCTACTGGTTTCCATTCCAGATGCGGTTGCATTTTGTTAGAGGACATAATATGTGAAAAGTATAAGGCCAGACTTTCAAAAATGATTAAAAATCCTTGTTTGTTTTTCTGGAAGTATAAACATATTAATAAAGGTGCTTTTCAGTAAGGGCTGGACATTCCTTTGAGGTGTTTTGAAACAGACCACCAAAAATTACAGGTTAAGTATGGGTTAAAAAGCAAATGTTATGGATGTCTGCAGCTCCTCTCAGTTTGGGGACAAGCTGAAGGGCAGCCAAATACTTGTTTCCCACCAACTCCTACTCAGTTGCAAACTCCCAAACACTGTTCTATTAAACACTAGTCTATTAAAGCGTGTTAGAAGATAACCAATATCAACATACACGTTACATGCAAGTACAGTACAGCACTGTCAGAGCCCAGGCTGTTTTCCACTAGCACAGTCACTCGGAATATGCCCACATTCTGATAAATATGCTTGATCCCATCTTCTGTCGAGCTGAGATTGGCATACGACACAGCAATGCCATCTCCAAAGTCCACTTGGATGATGGATCTCTGGAGGTCTCCCTGTTGTAACACAAAAGAGAAAGGGTCAAAACTGATACTGCTTTTTTTTTTTTTTTTTTTTTTTTYTTTTTTGAAAGAGAATTGCAAGAATCTCAGCCAACCATTCCAGACATCAGCAGGCATTTGGTGGGAGCAACAGAAAATGATTTTGTGAGACTGGATCAGACTTAACATATCTTAACATATAACATCCAGATGGTAGTTGTAAGATCTCATGCTAGCTGGGGAAAGAAAGTCACTTCATCAACTTGCTCAATAGTCAGTAGAGAGAAGATGACATTTCCGGAGATTTGATTCAGCTTGAGTCCGACTGTGAAGGTTTCCTTCTAGGTACTGCTGGGGCATAACTTTTCTAATTGTCAGGATGACTAGTGATCTTCTGGAAAATTAATTGGTGTCTTCTCTATGGGTTTCCTTCCCGTGAAGACCAAGATGTGGGAGGGATAATCTCCACTAGCATCTCATATCAGTAGTCACTTACAATGCAGGTACCTATTGAGATTAACTCTATATCTTTGGAACCAATCTCTCAATTTCAGCTTTTACATGTCAAATCATAAAAATGATAAGACAGAGAGAGATTTTGAGACATCCTCTAGGCCATCCTCCTTTTACCCAAGGTGAAAAGTGAACAATTCAAAGCAGTGGGGTGTCAAAAGAACCCCTTCAGTCTCACACGGTAAAGGTAATAGTGTATAACAACTTATGACTTGTTGACTTGTTCAGTGCTCTGATTTACAATGAGCTGAATTTGTATCTACATCACAACAGCCAACATCATTGTGGATCCGAGGTGGGACCCTTCCTGCCCGTTTCAGAGGCCAATGAAATATCTCTGCTCRTTAAACTCTCTTCCTCCTGTCGAGAGAAAATCCTACAGCCTAGAAGGGTAGGTGTGTGATATAACTCAGGCTGTAAGCTTGTGACATTCTAGTCTATTGAGCTGCTAATCTAGCACATTTCAGAACTGATACCAAAAGTGCAAAAAAAGAAATAAGAAAAAAAAAATGAGAGAAATATACAACTATAAACAAAACAAATACACCACAGACCAAAAGCTGAAGATATCAGGGACAGGTATTTCCTTTGCCAAGGCCCCTTTTACATAGGCCTACAAGGGGCTTTGATCTTCCCCTTGAGACTGAATTCCAACTTGCCTCATATACCTTCAACATCAGAGGCATCCAGCACTAAAAAAAAAAAAAAAAAATTTACATCGGAATGAGAGGAGTGAAGCCATCTCCTTATTTTGCTTTACAGAAAAAAAGACTTTTTTTTGACTTCTCGTTGTCCATATTTTTGATCAAAAGACAGACAAGTGAGTGAGCGCACACAGTAATGAAGACAGCCTGCGCCTTGTGCACCACAAGGCCTTGGTGGGAGTCTCTCCTGTCACCGGGCAGTGACACGCCTACGGCAAGGGCATGAGAGCCAGATGGTTACAAAGCCTGTGCTGACCGGTACCACAACAGTGTCTGTTACAGAGCCTCCCTCTGTCAGGTAAGACGTGGCACCTTGTCTTAATTTGGAGCATTCTTGCTCCGTTTGAGGGGATGCCGTGGTAGCTCTGAGCGATCCTTACGCAGGAAACGCTTGTGCTCACAGGCTGTTGCCATGGAGTGGGTGGCTCCAGCCTGGAGCGCTGAGGCAGCTGCCGCAGCCTGGAAGGATGCCGTTAAATTAATAGCCRAGGGCAGTTCATGAAATTGGATGAAAGGACATTTAATTTGCTGTGGTTTGGTTTCCCCTTCTTCCCCCCTGCTCTCGAGGCAGAGGCAGCGCTCTGGACATCCACGTGGAAGGAGAGGTATCYGTGAATATGTTTGGTATTGGGCAGGTTTCCACACTGCAAAGGGAAATGTGTGTGTGGGTAAGGGGGGCAGCTATAATGTAATCTTTACCTTGCTCAGGTTCCCTCTGTATTTTTATCACTTGTTGTCAAGGCAGAAACAGTGGATGCTTGCCTGAAGGATGAGCTAGGGAGGAGCAGAGCTACACCTGGCGATGGGTGACAGAGAAGCATTGCCCAAAAAATGCCTAGAGGTTAAAGACAGGGCCCTTATGTCACGGCACCCTACCAGAGGTTGGGTWTAAGTATCAGTTCTTGTTCCTGATCCGACTGCTCAAAGCAGAATTGCTTCTAAAGGGAAGACAGAAACTAATCCTATCCCTGTTTCAGAGGATCCCATTTTGAAGGYGAGAAAACGACAGTCTATGACAGAGGTGCACACCTGAGATATCTCACATCATTTCCCCTCCTGGTGTCTCTACAGAGAGGAACATCTCCGTTTCTCCACTTGAGAGGACCACAAGGATTCTATACATAAGATCATAGAATCATTATGGTTGGCAAATAGCTTCAAGATCATTGAGTCCAACTGTAAATGACAGAGATACTAGGGAGGGCTGACTCATTACCCTGCTTGAAGGAAACAGGGATCTTGTGTGTTAACCCAATTTCAGAYTGCCCTTAGGTAGCTCCTAAATGAGTTTCTCTTAGCAATTCAAAATTACAACATCTGCAACCTTCAATGAGATATGGTCATATCTAAGAAAGCTACTTAGGCCTCCATTCAGCAATGCTCTTAGCAAATTCTTCACTTCAAGCATTACTGCAAGTTTAAGCATCCACTTACATTTTTTTTYTCACTGACACAAATCACTGAGGCAGGGTCTCCTACCTGTGTTACATGGGGAATCAAACTAGCAAGATCAAAATGGTTCTTACAAAGAGCAGTTAGGAGCACAGGAGGAGGGCTTTAATACATCAGTAAGTGCTTTGGTGAGCTAAGTTAATTGAAAGAAGATGGCAGAGTGCAAAGTTTGAAACGTGATGAGAAGCACTTCRGGCACTTTTGATGTGGTGTCCTGTCTGACAGGGACAACAGGAGGCACCAAATGGATTACGCCTCTACAGACACAGGTGGGCATATATGGGCTCCTCMGCTCTGAACCCTCGCCAGAGGAGAGAGAGATTCACAATGCTGGGCTTGGACCAAAGGCAGAGAGTGCTCTGCTCTGAAATATCTGGCCGTGCCCTTAGGTGCTCTCCYAGTTCCTCCAAGCACATCATCATTAGGGCTTTAGTCATCATTTGTTACTAAAAATGGCTAATGCCTTTGATCATCATTCAGTAAAGTTACTAAAGTATTCAGTACCACTGGGACATAAGCTGTCCCTGTGGCCAAAACTGCAGCACCACAGTGACCTTGCTGGTTTTATCATCTCTGAGTATATTTAAGGTCATGTGATAACACTGCTTTTGAGGTAGTGGAAGAAGATGAAAAGGATGACAGCATTTAGAATAGCCCTGTTTCTGCAGGAGTTGGAGTTAATGCCCAAGTGATTTTTCTCTTGTCTTCATTTTCTCCACAGCCATGAAACCCAAGGTGCCTGCAAGTGCTGCCGGGAAAAGGAGCCATTTTTCAGTCATTCAGGATTTACATTTCAATTTTTCTTCCAAATTCTCCAGGGAGAAGAAATGCTGACAGAGACATCTACTGCAAATCTAATTGGAGAAGAACTTCAGCTGTCATTCCCCCAGTCTTTTTCATTTGTCTTGGCCTTTCCCATTTTGTTTTAAAACTCCTTGAACTGGAAATATATTTTCCATTCAGTAAAATCCAGGCTATAGCACTCTTTTTGAAAATGCCACATTTTGAAAAGCTGACATTTATGATTTTTAGCTTAGGAAAGGGGAAGAAAAAGTCAGGAAAATGAAGAGTCAGTGGGTTTGGCTTGTTAGAAAGCTTTATCTAATGCCAGGTGAGAGCACAGGCAGAGTAAGACAGAGAAAGACCAAAAGTGAGCCAAGATCAAAACATTTCCTGCACAGCTCATAACTGCTCTGCATCAATCCCAGCTGCCTGAGACCTAGACAGCTCCACAGAGCCACTTACACGTGGCTGTTTTACCAAGGGATGTTGTGTTTGGCAATAATTTTATACATATACATCCATCTTGCTAAAAACTCTCCAGGTGCTTTTCCCAGCCTCTCCTCATCATACTGACAAACCTGGTGCTATGTGCTGGGGTTTTGCGGAGCTCTGAGCCTAAGCAGGGTGGTCGCTGAGCTCCAGACATCACTTCTGCAGCCTCAGAAAAGTCTCCTTGGCCTTCACTGTGAACGATCTCTAATGCGAGCACTTGTAGGCATCACAGGAGATATATTTCTGATTCAGTACCTGTGTTATAATCATACTGAGCTGGCCAGCAACCTATGGTAATAGCTTGAAAAATAAAAGTGGTTTTGTGAGTAGATTAGTAGATTATACCCACAAAGTTCGAGGGCATTTAGATTTAAATGAGTCTTGGGTACATTTCAACAATTCTGAGAAAGTCTTCAGTGCAACCAAAAAAAAAAAAAAGAACAAGTTTCTGGAGACTTCATCTAACACTCTCTACTGATACAATAGCTAATGCTAAAAGAAAAAATACTAACAATAATACAAAAGATAACTGTTTTTTAAGTGATTTTCCTTATTAAATGCCTAGGAGATTTCCACAAAGGAACAAACAATCTTTTTTTCCCAAACCAATGCACATCTTTTCTGTCTCTTGTCAAAGAGAATAAAAATCTAGCACATATACAAGACCTTCCAACAAGCTCTCTGAAGCTTCATGCCTTAGGGTATGCTAGAAACTGCCTATACTGTTTGCAACAATATTGTTAGATTTTGATTACTTCAATGCAGACATTAGTATTTTGGTATATGTGAGATTAGGGCTCTTTGCAATCAATCTAAAAAAGATTGTGTCTCCAATGTTCTGTGTGAATTGTACCCAGAAGATTGTAATCATGTATTTTCCCTATTAAGTTCTAGTCTTTATATGTAAATTTGAGTATCAAAACAATGAAGCAACAGTTTGAAGTTTTTAATTTTGTTGCCATGCTTCAGATTTAATTTTGAAGCCTTCAATTATGCTTTGACTTGTGTCTCTTCCTTACAGATGCTGAAAATGGATTTAATTACCCCTCCACAAGAGAMAGGCACTGCAGT